TTTTTTGTTTGTTTTGTTTTAAAGATTTTTATTTATTTGACAGAGAAAGACACAGCGAGAGAGGGAACACAACAGGGGGAGTGGGAAGAGGGAGAAGCAAGCTTCCCGTGGAGCAGAGAGCCCGATGTGGGGCTCGATCTCAGGACCCTGGGATCACGATCTGAGTCGAAGGCAGACACTTAACGACTGAGCCTCCCAGGCGCCCCTTCTGCTGTGTTTTGCCCCTTCTGCTGTGTTTTGAAAATAATTTTAAGTTACCTAAAAATACACAATGCCGTTTATCCAACATACGTGAACTTGAAACCCTAAGGGTTTTTTAAAGCATATAATCAAATTCTCTTATTTTAAAACCCAAATTTTACTAAAATTATTTTCACTGTAAATAGGAAAACACTTTTCAACAAGAGAAAGAAATTCCTAAATCAATAGCCACTTCTAGAATAGAGATTTTTTTTTTTTTTTTAGATTTTTATTATTTATGAGAGACAGAGAATTCAGGGGAAGCAGGGAGAGGGAGAAGCAGACTCCCCACTGAGCAGGGAGCCTGACAAAGGGCTCAATCCCAGGACTCCGAGATCATGACCTGAGCCGAAGGCAGATGCTTAACCAACTGAGCCACCCAGGCACCCCAACAGAGATTCTTTTTTGATATCTAATGATAACAGTACCACTGAATATATTTTCATTCTAAAATTATCTTGATTTCTCCTCATTTTTTTGTATCTTTTTTCTAAATGAATCTTTTGTTCTCTTATCTGGGAGGATCCAAACTGAAGACACACAAAGTTAAAATGGATAGATCGGGATTAGCAGTAAGACTTGTTATTTCACCAAATTCATTCAAATGAATGTGACTTAACCTACATAGCATTAGGCATATCCCATTCCCCCTCAGAAGTTATAACCAAAATTATTTCTTTTAATACAGACACTAAAGTTAGTTGGGCCTGCCAATCTTTCAGAGTAGTAGAACTGACAAGAAAAATAATAACCAAAAACTTAAGGGGAGTTTCAGGGCTGAACCACTGGGTAAGCTGTTGCTATTACCTGCACATACTTGCGAATGTATCAAGAAGTGCTATACCCTAGAAACTGGGGAAGGGAGAAGAAATAAGAGTTCCAAAACTCTTGCAACTTAACCCTGCAACTTAATCCCACTGAACACCATTATGATTCTACAGGGGCCTAAACTGGCAAAGAGATGAGATGGCTCTGAAGCAAGTCCTTCCCATTGACTGGGTCAAGAAAGCCACTTGGAGGGGCGCCTGGGTGGCTCAGTGGGTTGAGCCTCTGCCTTAGGCTCGGGTCATGATCTCAGGGTTCTGGGATCGAGCCCCACATCTGGGCTCTCTGCTTGGCAGGGAGCCTGCCTCCCCCTCTCTCTCTGCCTGCCTCTCTGACTACTTGTGACCTCTCTGTCAAATAAATAAATAAATAAATCTTAAAAAAAAGAAAGAAAGAAAGAAAGCCACTTGGCAATATAGCTCATTAAAAGCTGAGAGTAAAAGTCAATACTCCACCTCTGGTGTTCAGAGAGGACAGCACTCAGGAATGACTGACTGTTCTTGTGATCCAACTAGCACAAGACTAAGCACCCTTTTGAGATGCAAATTATATCAACACAAAGACAAACTTTATTCCAGATAACCTGGGTCCGGCTACCCTCAAAAAGACATTTGGTTTCCCATCACATTCATCCAGTTCAAGGCACACCTACTATATGCTGAGTACTTACAGTGAAGGAAATCTCAAGTTCAAATACAAAATTACTTTTATAAAACTCTTCAGTGTTTTCCTATACATATGAAAATCATATTACTGACTTACCAATGTTGGGTTGGTTTTTCAGTAGCAGAGTCAGATTTAAACTGAGCCAGATACTTATCTGATCTGATCACTCTTAAAACCAACATGTTCAAGGTGACAGCTTAGGCTTAAGGATCTAGAAACAGCCATGAAACGAAATAAAACTTGTCTCATGTGTGAATCAAACTATAACCCTGACTTCACTGCACCTTTTCCTAGAAATGCATGACAACAATGATTTATTAAATGTTTCTTCCTTCTCAATTTACTCTTTTCTACAGTCTGTGCTATTCTCAATCTGAATTCTACCTATCCTTTCAAAACTCAATTTAAATCCTATCTCAACTGTTACTTCCCTGATCTCACATCACCAATGCTACCGTATCCCCCTCTCACTGAATTCTATACCACATCCATCCTCATCCACCTGTGTTGTTACTTTTTCCATGTTTGTCTTGTCTTTCCCATAAAATTTTGAGGTCCTGGGACGCCTGGGTGGCTCAGTTGGTTGGACGACTGCCTTCGGCTCAGGTCATGATCCTGGAGTCCTGGGATCGAGTCCCACATCGGGCTCCCAGCTCCATGGGGAGTCTGCTTCTCCCTCTGACCTTCTCCTCGCTCATGCTCTCTCTCACTGTCTCTCTCTCAAATAAATAAATAAAAATCTTTAAAAAAAAAAACCTTTTTTTTTTTTTTGAGGTCCTGAAGGGCAGGAACCACATATTCCTTGCTGCTGCCTCCAGGACATTCAGCTGAGAACTTTGTATGTATGCAGGAAGTATTCAATTTACACATCAGGCATGACGGATAATAAATGAAACTAAAAAGGTCAAGAACTTCTCCTCTGGGCATCAAACTAAGGCTTATAAAACACCTACTAAGTCTTTCAAACTATCCCTTTTCAAGAGCACGAAGTGGGAACTTGAGATGTTAAGAAGAGAAGATATATTAAGTTGTGGGGAGTTAGACCATTTTCTCACTCTTAAAGACAAACAGTGAACAGCACATAAAAATCAGAAGACAGCAGTGTTCAACAGGGCATCACATTCAGCATGTCAGTGGTCACACACATACTGGCTGAATTCCCAGATTCCCTTTCTGTGGTTAGAGAGTTCTGGAGGCTCTGGTGTCCGCTGGCAAAAAAACAAAACAAAAACCAAAAATCAAGGCACCTACTCTTCCTAGCACTGAAATATAGCAAAAAGCGTGCACACGCACTCAGAGTGGATTCCGCAAGCAAAAGTAAAACAGCACATAGATGAAACTATGACCCTGGAGGGTGTGGGGCAAACAGAGGAAAGAAAATGCCATAAAAGCCTGAAAAAAACAGAACTTTTGGGTGAAAAGGCTATTAAAATACTCGTGAGACACTTAATCTCTAGACTCCATTTGTGTTTCTAAGGAGCAAGACACCACTGCAGACACCTTCAGGAGGATTTCTCATGGACTGTATCTGAGACAGTAAATAACAGAGGTGAGTTGTTACGTAGCCACCTTGTCTTAAGGCTGAACCTGGATTATTTACAAGGAAAAGGACAATTATAGCTAATTCTAAAGACGGTTGGCCAAGGGTAGACTGAACATTCACCCTTATGGGTCTCCCTGCAGTAGCTATAATCCAACCCAAAAGAGCTGGGTTTGGAGTGTTGTAGCCGGCAAGCCAGCTGCAGAAGCACATTCTTCACAACGGTAGCACCACCTCTCCAGGGACTAACAGACAACCTGGCAGAAACTGGTAAAAACCAATTTTATGGCAAAGGATCCAGTCCCCAGCATTCTGGCCTGGATCTTTTTATTTAAGTGAAGAGACAGAACCGAGGGAGGGCAGGTAAGGGAGGTAATGTTAAAGACACTGGCAGCAGGACAACCAAAACAACCAAGTTGCACCAGTATGTCCTGCCTTCTTCCTAAACCCATTTCCTTCAATAGTAACAGGGAGCACAAGCACTCTGCAAGTCGTTAGTATACTTGTTTTCACTTTCACAAGAACCCTAGAAACCACGGAAGAGCAAATCCTCCTCACCTCCCCACAGTTATCTTCCAACCCTCTCTTTCTCTCCTTTCTTCTTTCCTTCCCTAGAGATAACCGAACAGGGACAATCTTCAGCAATCCGCTATTTGGCTCCACTGGGGATGGGGGAGGGGGATCTGGTTAAAAGTGGAAAAGGCCGTAGGGGTAGGTGAGAAGCAATTGAAGAGAAAGAGTATCGGGAGGGGGAAAGGGAGGTCAACGTGGGAAGGAGACATGGTGAAAAACAGTGAAAGAAAACTGAGGGGAGAGTTGTCAGAGAACTTGCTAGGAAAGACAAAAAGATGGAGGGGGATAGGTAAAGGGAGGTAAGGGAGTGAGGGGCAGGTGGAACATCCGAAGGGGGGGAAATGGGCTGGGCGGGAGTTCCGGAATCAGGGCCGGGACGCCCGGGATTTGGGGCCAGAAACCAGAAAAGTGAGCAGAGGGTATCAGGGAGACGGGTGTCAGAAAAATCAGAGCTGTGCGAGAACCTGAAGACCCATTCGGGGACTTCGGGGCAAAGAATCCACGCGGATGCCTAAGCGCAGAGGGCACGGGGCTCTTACCGGTAGTTTGGGGCTGACCTCGCCCTTGCAAAAGTGGCAGAAAAACCGGTGCGCGGCAACAGCGGCGCCTGCGCCCGCCCCGGCCGCCGAGGCCTCCGCCATCTTTCTCTTCCGCCGCGGCTGTCCGAGAGGGCAGCGGCCGGTCCCTTCTCAGGCCGCTACCACCCGCCTGCGGTGGCCGCCCTGGCCGCCGCCGCTTCCTCAGCGCGGCCGACTGCCCCACACCCAAGTCGGTCACGTGAGCCCGCCGGGCCCAGCGAGCCGGCGGCGCGGACGGCGACCCCGCGGCCCGCCTCCCAGCACCAAAGAGGCGCAGGAAGGAGAGTCCGCCCGCCGCAGCCCGCCCGCCGGCTCCTCAGACAGCGGCTCGCAGGTCCTCCAGCCTTCCAGAGAGAAGAAAGAAAGAGCGTCACCGGAAACCACCGAAACTCCGGGGTAGAGCGGCCCGCGTTGTTCCTCTTTACCTCCTTCCGGGCTGTCGGTCTTTCTGCGAGAAAGGGCCGTGGGCTCCCCCTCTGCCCCGGCGGCCCGCGGGAGCCGCAAGAAGCCGCCGTGGGCGACTCGGCGGCATTAGATTGCATTGACCCAGAGGTTAGTGGAAAAAGCTACCTGGACGAAGCGGCCCTGTCTCTGGACGAGGGGACCAAGTCTGGAACGGGAACCTGCGTGAAGGGAGTGAACAGCCAGGAGCTAAGCTCCTTGGAAGTGCTTTTCCGGGATGGCACAGGGTCTGGGGATGCTTCCCCAAAGACGTGTGGATGGGAATATTGAGCTGAGAGGCAGAGACTTCGCCTCTGGGGATTTGGGCAAATAAATGAACAAACCGATGATTGGGAGTACTTGGGATAATAAGGAAATAATTATACTGTATAGTCAACTGTGCCTGTTTCTGTTTGTGTCTGCTTTGTGAAGGAGTAGGAATTTTAGAATTAAATACTGCCCTTCAGACAACATACTTCATCTCCTATTTGAAACACCCAGTTCGGAAGCCTTCCTTTACCTCATTTTCTTTTTCTAAGTTGTCATTTTCTTCATGGACTGGGAATGACACTACCTGTTCATTCCCATAGGGCTGTGAACAGTGGCCTTCAGTCTTACAATCAATGAAGTATAGAATCTAAAGTCTATGACATCGCAAAACCATTTACACCCAATTTTTAAGGAAAATTAGAATCACATGTAATCCCATAAAGGTAAATTTGGCATATAATCCTCCAGTCTTTTTATCTATGTATATGGTTTTTTTGTAATAATTTTCCCCTACATTTTGCTTTCTAATCTATTTCTTTCACTTAATGAACAATTTTCTGTGCTCATACGTATTATACTTTAAGTGGTGGCTAGTATTCCATCGTGTGGGTATGCCATCATTTATTGAGTTAACTCCTTAATGTTACCCATTAGGTTGTTTCTAGTTTATCACTATAATAAGGAGAATAACAGTGACATTTTTATTATTTTCTTGAGACAGAGTATCTAAAATGAAATTTTAAAAATTTCTAATGTCAAAATTGCCCTCCAGAAAACACGTGAATTTACATTCAGCAGCTTTACTTCCAGCATAAAAGACTCTTCAGTACAATGACTCAAGCAGAAATTAAACTTTGCTCTTTGTTGCTGCAAGAGCATTTTGGAGAGATTGTAGAAAAAATTGGAGTCCACCTAATCAGAACAGGCAGCCAGCCACTGAGAGTAATTGCCCACGACACAGGAACATCGCTGGATCAGGTATGTGTGGGTGACATTAATTTGCTTTCATTCTTTTTTTTTTTTAAGAATTTATTTATTTTTTTGAGAGAGAGAGAGGGAGATTGAGAGGGAGAAGCAGACTCCCCGCTGAGCAGAGAGCCTGATGTTGGACTCAATCCCAGGACCCTGAGATCATGACCTGAGCCAAAGGCTTAACAACTGAGCCACCCAGGCACCCCAGCCATCTCTTAATACTTTAAGTAAATTGTTGGACAAAAATTGGCAACAAAAATGAGCTGTGTCTTTAGATCTTTTCTCTTTTGTGTCCTACCTAGGTGAAAAAAGCCCTTTGTGTGCTCATCCAACATAACCTGGTGATGTATCAAGTGCACAAACGTGGTGTAGTGGAGTATGAAGCCCAGTGCAGCCGTGTGTTGCGAATGCTTAGGTATCCCCGGTACATCTATACTGCCAAAACACTGTATAGCGACACTGGAGAGCTCATTGTGGAGGAGCTGCTACTGAATGGCAAAATGACAATGTCAGCTGTTGTGAAGAAAGTGGCAGACCGACTCACAGAGACTATGGAGGGTCAGTAGCATATCCATAGCTGTTAGCAAAAGCGTAGATTGGCTGGCTGCAGGACTGGACCCTCAGCTAACTTAAGCCGTCTCATCCACCTCTTTCCTCCTATTGTACAGATGGCAAGACCATGGACTATGCTGAGGTATCAAACACATTTGTGCGACTAGCAGACACACACTTCGTACAGCGTTGCCCCTGGGTGCCTGCCACTGAGAATTCAGACCCGGGGCCACCACCACCTGCCCCCATTCTTGTCATCAGTGAAAAGGACATGTACCTGGTTCCTAAACTTAGTTTGATTGGTAAGGAATTTTGACCCATGAGACTATGACTTGCCCTAGTTGTGGATTCTTCCTCAATAATTGTTAAATGAATGAATGAATCAGTTATCACAAATTTACCCTGTGCTACATACTCAAGTCTCTGGCCTTTTGGGGCTTAAGTCTAATACGAAAGACTGATTAATCAAATAACCACGTGAGTACTATGGAGGAAAAGTATGAGGTGTTTTTTGTTTTTTTTTTTTTCTTTTTAAAGATTTTCTTTATTCATTCATGAGAGATAGGCAGGGTTAAGGGGAGGCAGAGGCAGAGGGAGAAGAAGGCTCCCTGCGGAATAGGGAGCCCGATGCATGACCCTGGGGTCAGGACCTGAGGTGAAGGCAGACGCTTAACCGACTCAGCCACCCGGGCACCCAAAACTATGAGATGTTATGAAAATATTTAACAGGGGACTAGATTTATCGGGGTTTAGAGCACATGCTTTTTTGAGAAAGTAGCATTAGAGCATTTGAGCTAAGATTTTAAACTAACCAGTGAAATAATGTATGAAGGGGTACAGAGGATAAACATTTTTGGCAAAAGTGCAGTGAGAAAAAAACAGGATAGTTGAAGTAAAATATGGGTTAGTGTAGTTAAGGGACAGTGAGCTAAGAGAGCCATGTGATGAGAATAGAAAGGCAGGGGCTAGATCATGCAAGACCTCATACAGTGTCTGTTCTTTATCCTAAGAGCAAAGGAAAACCACTAAAGGATTTAAAGGACATGACATGATCTAATTTGTATTTTTAAAAGATTTTCCTGCTTGCAGAAAGGATGGGGTAGAGGTAAAATATTGACAAACCCAGTGAAAAATTAGATACAGAAAGGTGAAGGAGACAGACATGCCAAGAATGGCTATGTGTCTGACTTGCATGTGGAGGAGGATGGTCCTCCTCCACTCACTGAAAGGAAGTATTTGGAGCAGGAGCAGTTTGAGGGAGAAAGTTAGTACTTTATTTTTTGCATATGTTGAGCTTCAAATGACTTCATCATTGCCTTAAATTTCTTGTAGCTCCTCAGCCTCCCCAGCAACATTAACCTAGAGGCAGCTGGAGATGTCTTGGAATGGAGGGACACCTGCTCTGAGGTTCAGTGATTTCCTATCTCCATATGAGATGTAACCCAGCTGTTCATCTGTTTTATTTGGCAGGGAAGGGTAAAAGGAGAAGATCATCTGATGAAGATGCTGCTGGGGAGCCGAAAGCCAAGAGACCAAAACATAGCACAGATAACAAAGAGGTAACAGGACTAGGAGTCCTCACCCTGAGGCAAGGCAGAAAGAGCACCTAGATAAGCCCCAAGAGAGTTCATAAGGATGAGAAGTAGTAAGATTATGAACATCATTAAATATTGACAAAGAATAAACTAACAAAGTGTAAACTCCATTGCTGTGTCCCTTCTGAGGCTTAACTTCAGTCATTGGACAGAGGCAGCACCTTACGCCAAAAAAAGGCCTTCTGTTTTCTCTCTCTGAAATAAGAGGCAAGGTCATGTGCTGAGAGCAAGAAGAGAGGGGTAAATGGAAGACTTTAGGATACCAGAGAAGAGTTCAGATAGAGAAAGATTATAAGTGAGTTTAGAGAATCTGTCTTTGGATATTGTGAATTTGTCTTGTCAAGGCACTAATCCACATGACTGAATGATTTTTTTCTACTCCATGTAATTGCTACTAAGAAATAGTGAACAGTTAAATCCAAGCTCCTTACCAGAAAACTCACCACATTCACTGTGTCTAAATGTTTCCCTCTAATCCTTTTTTCCTCCCAGCCCATTCCAGATGATGGGATTTATTGGCAGGCCAACCTTGACAGATTCCACCAGCACTTCCGTGACCAAGCCATTGTCAGCGCAGTTGCCAACAGGATGGACCAGGTGATACCTAAGTGGGTGGGATGGTGGCCTGAATCAGGAACATTCACTTATTTGCCAGATGTGGCCATTGGCATATAGCCAGAGCCATCACAGCAGAGTGAATTCTGAATTGCAGTTCACTTTTCAAACCCAGACCAGCAGCGAGATCGTGCGGACTATGCTTCGGATGAGTGAGATTACCACTCCCTCTGCTGCCCCCTTCACCCAGCCATTGTCTTCCAATGAGGTGATTTTCATGTTCTTGTACTACTATTCTGACAGACTGTTGGATATTTTAATTCTTATACACAGAGCCTGGGATGAGGTTGAGATCTGAGCCTTTGAAAGAGTTTTTATTGTTTGAGGTGAGACAAGGATTTTCTTCAGGTGGTAGGTACTGAAATATTTGGTCTCGGGGATCCATCCTTTAAGAACCTAAACCATTCTCTTAGTCTCTCTCTTTTTTTTTTTTTAAGACTTTCTGGAACAGGAAGCTTGAAATTGAAGAGAGAATACTAGAGAAATGAAAGTTTGTAATTCTTTTTTTTTTTTTTTTTAAGATTTTATTTATTTATTTGTCAGAGAGAGAGAGGGAGAGAGAGCAAGCACAGGCAGACAGAATGGCAGGCAGAGGCAGAGGGAGAAGCCGGCTCCCCGATGAGCAAGGAGCCCAATGTGGGACCTAAACCTAAAGCTATTCCTAATTGTTCTAAGAATCCGCTGTTTGGAATCTGAGAACCTTTGTTGGTGCTCAAAACATTATTTGGCCACTTATATTTGTTTTGTTCAGTGTACTTATTTTGTGTATTTTTTTTTTAAGATTTTATTTATTTATTTATTTGACAGACAGAAATCACAAGTAGGCAGAGAGGCAGGCAGAGAGAGAGGAGGAAGCAGGCCCGCCGCTGAGCAGAGAGCCCGATGTGGGGCTCGATCCCAGGACCCTGAGATCATGACCTGAGCTGAAGGCAGAGGCTTTAACCCACTGAGCCACCCAGGCGCCCCTATTTTGTGTATTTTAAATTTGTTTTTAGTATGTGTGTTTCTTAAAACATGAATACTTAATGTATCAAATACATTTTATTTATATTCTATTTCATTACATTTACCCATATTAAATATATTTATATTTTCACTTTATAGTATTTTAAAATTTTAAACTTACTATAAAACAAAAATTTCAGGCTTCTTTTCTTTCAGCAAAAGTAATTACATGACCTACATAGAAATGTATATTTGTAAGTTGTAGCCCCTAAACTTTTAGGAATGGTGGGCATGTTCTCTATCTTATTGTGGGTGGTAGTTACATGGGTATATGTAATTGTCAACACACATCAGACTGAACCTCTAAAATATGGGCTTGTTATTGTATGTAACATACCTCAGTTTAAATATGTATATAATTTTGTGTGATCCCAGCCCAGCCCTGGGGATTCTTGTTCATAGTTTGATACCTATATTTATTCAGACCTTTTTTTTAATGTGGCTATATGTATATATTTTAAAGTAGTTGTATGTATTTTTTATGTAGTTATATGTATATTTAACTTTAGTTATATGTATATTTTTTAGCAAAAAAATTTATGTAGTTATATGCATTTTATTTTAGCAAAAAAAATAGAATTATACTCTATAAACTGTTCTAAGGTTGCTTTTTTCATATGACAGTGTATCGAAGCCTTTTTTTTATGTCAATATATATATATATATATAGATCTCATTTCTTATGGCAGTTTCATGTTCCATTTAGTGGCCATGCTGTATTTTATTTTAATTAGTTCCTTATTATTGTACATTTGGATTGTTCCTCATTTTTTACTCTTACAAACAATATCGCTATATATTTGGACATATTTATACTTGTGATATCTGAAATTAAAACATCTTTATTTCAATAATGTCAGCAATTCTAAGTTCCCAAACCCATTTTCACCATCTCTTTTTGCTCCATAGATCTTCAGATCCCTACCTGTTGGCTATAACATCTCTAAACAAGTTCTTGATCAGTATCTCACTCTGCTGGCAGATGATCCAGTAAGTCTGTTTTTTCTTTTCTTCTGCTGTGTTTACAATTTATTTCTGCCACTGAAACCTGTTATCCTTCTTCTGTAGCCTCATTTTCTACCTACCTAGCTCAGACAGTTTCTCTACCATCATCTGATAGGAAGGCTACCTGCTACAGACTCTTGGCCAGATTTGCTCCTTTGGAAATAGAATCACTGGACTTTCCATTCAGTTAACCTTCTTTGTGTCTCTCTATTTTTGTTTTTGTTTTTGTTTTTTTTAATAGCTAGAGTTTGTTGGAAAGTCTGGCGACAGTGGTGGAGGAATGTATGTCATCAGTATCCTTACCCATTATTTCCTTATAGTCAGGCAGCCTGAACTATGAAGAGGAATGGTGACTTAATGCAAAAAAGATTAGATAATATTCAGTAGACTAAATAAGTCAGAGAATTGAACTAATACATTGATGATAAAGAAGTAAAAAGGATTTTTAATTAGCCAAATTTTAGTTAAACAAAAGCCTGACTTAAATCCTAGTAAATTGAGTTATTGAAATACTTACATACCATAAATGAGACCAATGTGAAAAACAAAATAGCATTTCAATTTTGAATTAGAGATGTAGGATTAAAACTAAGATCAGAGTGACCAGGCCAAAACATTATTGACCTTAATGCTCTGCATGAAGACTTGCATAAAGCTCTCGGATCCCTAGCCACAGCCACTCTGGAGTCTGTCGTACAGGAGAGGTAAGATGGTCACCCTGCTCAGGGTTGGGGTCAGACACTTCCTTTCCACGCTTTATTTGAATAAGCAATTTGATCATTATGTAGGCACCCAGTATTCACACATCTTGGTGCATTTTGCCCATTTTTCCACCGAATTGCTACAGATCCATCCACTACTGCTCTTCACTCTAAATACCCTACTGCCCAGTTCCTAATGATGCCATTTAACCAGGCCTCTGAAAGCCTTTACTTAAAATGCAGGAACTCAGGTACTCTGGTGAGTCAGCAGTTGGTAACTCCTTCATGATTAGCAGTACCATTAACTATCTGTGGAGTTGTAAAAGAAATCCCTGACCACTGTTTCTCTCTCTGGTCCTGGCTCCATACATGGAAACAGAGCAACCGCCATTTGTGACTAGGAGCTAAAACTAATCTGTGTCATGCCATTTGCCTTCTTTAGTCTTTATTCCTTTCCAGGTTTGGGTCTCGCTGTGCCAGAATATTCCGTCTAGTTTTACAAAAGAAACACCTGGAACAGAAGCAGGTAGAAGACTTTGCAATGATTCCAGCAAAGGAGGCAAAGGATATGCTTTACAAGATGCTCTCGGGAAATTTCATATCACTCCAGGTAACCAGTGGCATAACAGTCCCCAATCAATGGAACTAGCCGAGGGTGAAAGAAACTTCTGAGGCAAACATCCTGAACCCCAAGCAAACTCTCTTTCCAACTCTGAGATAGGAAAAGGAAAAGAAAAAGAAAAAAAAAAGAATTATAGAGACATAGCAAGCACTTGAAAGAGAATTGGGAAACTTTAAGTAGCCTGGTTAAAAAGAGGCACAGCCATGAAATCACCCCAGAATTGCCCTTTTTCCTTAGTTCTTAGTCCTTGTGATTTGTCCTTTCCTCAGCCCTTAAGTCTATTATAGATGAAATCTGCCAATGGTTTCTGTTGGGTCCTCACTATGTGCACAGCTATGTAGTATGCCCTATGAGGGAACAGACAATGGATCTGGGAGTCAGAATCACAGTTCTGCCTCTGATCCAGTTAACGCTGCCTACCATCATTTTCTCATCAGTAAAATGATATAAAGAATAATATGATTTGATATGATATGATAATAACAATGATAAAAAGGATAAGATATAAAGAATAATATAATTTGTCCTAAAGATCAAATATGATCAACATGGCACATAAGCATTGCTCAGAAAATGTTAATTGCCTTCTCTTTCTTCCCCACTGAGGATGCCTACAGTTAAATAGAAAAAGCTCTCCATGTGGCTGATTTTGCCACAGATGCTGAATGACTGGGGAAGAGGAAAGTATAAGTGAAGGAGAGAGCTGAGTTGCTCTGAATGGGACAGGTGTTTACTTTGCCATTTCTGAAGAACAGTATGATTTCTCTTCTCTTTCTTTCTATGGACAAATAGGAAATTCCCAAAACGCCAGACCATGCCCCATCCAGGACCTTCTATTTATATACCGTGAACATCCTGTCAGCTGCCCGAATGTTGCTGCACAGATGCTACAAGGTGATTTCTTCTGGACCCTCTCCCCATTCCCTGCACACAGATAAGTCTCATCCTCTTGCCCCCTTTAGCCATTTTACTTGAGCTACTAAATAGAACCATGTGCATTTCTTCTCTCCCCTCAGAGCATAGCCAACTTGATAGAAAGGAGACAATTTGAAACCAAAGAGAACAAGTGAGTAGCATTTTCAGTTGAGTAATTACATTTCTCAAGGTCAAAGTCTTGAAGGGGAATATCCTGTAGAAATAAGAACCAAGAGAGACAATAACAAATCTAGTTGCATTGAATTATTGGCGTAGGTTGACATAAATCCTACATTATTCTATACTGTTATGATATACCCCCAGTGAAATAATTTTGCAGTTTATAGGAAATGTACAAATTGGCATTAAACTTTAAGTGCAGATGAGAGGCAGTAAGAGTTTCAGGAGCAAAGTCATATTTCTAGTTAAACTTGTAAAAACTATCTTTGGAAGGTGGCAATATCCACTTTGACCAGGAACATGGGAGAAGGAAGAGTTATGCCATAGGGGTAATGGGTAAAAGAATCACCAAGAGGGACATGCCTCAGAGCTGTGTTTGTCTGACAGGCGTCTACTAGAAAAGTCTCAGAGGGTGGAAGCCATTATTGCATCTATGCAGGCTACAGGCGCAGAGGAGGCACAGCTCCAAGAAATAGAGGAGATGATCACAGCTCCTGAACGCCAGCAGCTAGAAACCCTGAAGCGTAATGTCAACAAGTAAGCATCATAAATCTCCAACCTATGTTTCAAAATACCTTCCAGACAAGTCCACCCCAACACCCTATTACCCTTCCAACCTCACCTAAGCAAACCTAAACGCACCCTCTTCTTCCCCAGCTCAGTTGGCAGAATTTAATCCACCTGTTTTCCCAGGCTTAAAAACTCTGAAAGCATTTCAGCTTCTACTGCTTTATCGCACACTCTTGTTCACCAAGTCTGTTGATTTAACTTCAATAATGTGTCTCAAATCTGGCCTTTCATCTTGGTCGTCATGCAGGCCTTCATCACTTCTTTCCTGGACCTTTGCAGTCACCTCCCCCTTCAAACCATCTCTTAAAATGCCCTCAGTGCCATTCTCCATGGCCTCTGATCTTAAATAATGAATGTTCAGTCTGTGTAAATGCTTTCACTTTTTCACTCAGGTTGGATGCCAGTGAGATCCAAGTGGACGAAACCATCTTCCTACTGGAGTCATATATTGAGAGCACCATGAAGAGGCAATGACCCAGAAGAAGAGTCTTTCTCAAAAAATCTGGGGAGGTTGGAAGGAAAAATAAAGGAGGTGCCTGATGCATTCTCTGCAGTGAGATACATTGCAAATTCCTTTTTTTTTTTTTTTTTTTTTTTAATTTATTTGAGAGGGAAAGTGAGCAAGTGTGTGCACTTGAGAGAGAGCAGGAAGGAGCAGGAACGAGCAGGGGAAGAGGGAGAAGCATACACTCTACTGAGCAGGGAGCCCAACATGGGGTTTGATCCTGGGATCATGACCTGAGCGGAAAGCAGTTGCCCAACCGACCGAGCCACCCAGGTGCCCCCATTGCCGATTCTTATATTGAAATGCCCTCTCTATTTCTACTGCCCAGAAAACATCAGAAAGAGTTTGACATGTTTTTTGAAGTTTGCTGATCCTGTATTATCCTCATCATTGTATTCTCCACTCACCAGATCTCAGTGGGGGAAAGGACCTCAAATCAACTAGATTAATCATCTATCAGATGCATTATTTCCCACTAAGAAGTTAAGCCAAGCCTGTGTCTGAATATCCATGACAGTGGAAGAAACTTCTTCCTAAGCAGTTCATTCCATTCTCAAAAGGCTACCCCTATTCTTTATATTGTTAAGTTATAATCACACACACACACACACACACACCACACACACAGTGTAGAGAATATGAAAGATACCCACACAGAGGGAAGTAAAAGCTATTTTCAGAACTAGCAGGTGGATTGGCCCCAGCATTCACACTGGAATCTACACTTGCCAGCTCCAGGCTTCTAACACATCTGAAACCGTGTATGTAAGACACTTAGCACAATGCCTGGCATATGGTAAGGACTCAAGAAGTCATTGGCTTCCTCTTCTCCATGGTTTCTTTTTTGGTTTTTTTTTTTAAGATTTTATTTATTTTATTATTATCTATCTAACACAGAGAGAGAGATCACAAATAGGCAGAGAGAGAGGGAGAAGCAGGCTCCCTGCTGAGCAGAGAGCTGGACATGGGGTTCCATCCCAGGACACTGAGATCATGACCTGAGCTGAAGGCAGTGGCTTTAACCCGCTGAGCCACCCGGGCACCCCTACTCCATGGTTTCTTAAAAGCAGCAATTCTAAGTTTTCTCTCTCAGTGACATGGATAGATAATTAACCTACCTGATGTAATTTGTCCCAGCAGCTTCAGTTCATTTAAAGCAGGTAGGTGCTATTACAATCTCTTCAGTTCTCTCTTCAATGTCCATTCTCTCTAATTCATTAAGATTAATGAATTTAATTGTTCGATCAAGTGCCAATTAACTGCTAGCCATTATACTGGATATAATATACCAGGATCAATAAGTTGCTGTCTCTGCCTTCAAACCACTCACCATTCTTTACTGAGCAACTGTTATGTGCCCAGAGTGGGCTAGGCTTTAGGGATACAAAGATGAATAAGCCTTATACACACAGCCTAGTGGGAGGAGACAAATACAAGGAAATACTGGGTGGGGGCTCTAGCAGAAAAGTACTATATACAGAGAGGCAAGAGGGAGAAGGGTCAAGAACGAAAGGGATTGCAGAAAAAGTGATAATCTGTCTTGTGAAAGAAGAGGATTTGCCAGGTAGGAGGGGGAAAGGGTCCCAGAAGGAAGCAGAGCCTTGTTCCAGGAAGAAGTGCACATAGGATATAACCAGAAAACAGGGCCTAAGTCCTGCCAGCATTGAGGCTGGACAGCCCACAGGAGCAAGGGCTGGGGTTGGGGGTGAGGGGGTCCTCAATATACTGTGCTTAGTAGTTTATCTTCTAAGCAGTGGGAAGCAAGATGATGAGATCTGTGTTTGAGAAAGATCACTCTGGAAGCACCCTAGAGAATGAACTGGTAGGGGAAGGACTATTTGGAGATGTGCAATAGTATCTCTGGCAGAATTTGAGTAAAGCTAGGACTAGAACAATGGAGGCTGGAGAGCAAGACATCCGAGAAATTTTAAGGAGATAGAATCTGCTGCACTGGGTTGCCATTTTAGTGAGAAGAAAGAGAGGGGAGGGGAAAAGAATGTTTCCTGGGAGTCTGGTCAAGACACTAATTCGAGGTGACACCTACTACAGCAGATAGGTGTATAGAGCTACCAAGGGGTGCTTAAGTATACACGGCCCGTGGCTGGTGGGAGGGAACATGTGAGTTAAGAAATTATCCAGTCTGAATCACTCTCCTAAAGAGAAGAGGGGGGAAAAAGTGGAGGCGAGGGATTAGAGGCTTTCTTCTTTGTCATTTACTAGCATTGCGCCCTTGGCTCATCCCCAAGGCTTCTGCCTAAATTTCCGCGGCCTCTCTCGGACCGGGCCCAACACTCGGGGCGGCGCTGCTGGGCCAGCAGAGGGCGCCAGGCGGACTGCGGCCCAGGATCCGCGTTATGGCCGCCTCGCGGGTGCTGCTGCTCCTGTCCGGGCGCCCCGTGTCGCCGAGCTTCACGCAGAGTGTGTGTCGCCTCCTGGGTGCCGGGCCAGGGCTCGGGCCGTGGCCCACGCACTGCGGCTTTAAGCGAGGACGACTCGTCCTCTCGGACCGGCCATTCCCAGGCGCTTCGACCACACTTCCGCTCCAGGTCGGGAGAAAGGGGAGCGGGGTGGGGGGCAGGAGTGCGGTTGGGGGTGGGGTGTGGAGCTGGCGCCAGAGGCCAGGCTCGGTCAGACTCGACCTCCTCCCCCATCGCGCGGCGTTGCCCGATTTTTGCCCGGCTTCTGAAGCCTTAAACCAAACGGCTACCGACCCCCCACACCCCCGCCAGCGACCCCCTTTCTGCCCTTTTGTGGCACTGGACCAGCAGCAGCTCAGGGCTGGGGGGACTGAGCTGCCCACGAATCGAGGTGTGGATCTGGGTGTGGCCGTCATTCTGCAGTCCAGCGACCAGACTGTCTTGTTAACCCGAAGGACAAGCACCCTCAGCCTTTCTCCCAACCTCTGGGTACCCCCAGGTGAGTGCCCTGAGAACAGAATTCCAAGTTCAGGGAAGAAAGTGGCCCTTCACCAATAGTGCTAGTCCCAGTCTCAGGAAGACAGAGAGGCCGGCCTACAAATATGGTGAGTCCCCTTTTCACAAGAGTTGCAATGGCATCTACACCAACTGGAGGAGAGGGGTAGTATAGTGTGGGGGTGGGCGGTGATGGGGGGGTGGTTCCTGACCAAGACCATCACCACTTACCTATTGGTCCCACTGTTGTTGCAGGTGGGCACGTGGAACTTGATGAAGAGGTAACCAATCAGCTAACCCGACCTTCACTGGAGGCCCGGAAACCAGAGACCTCCCCCGTGGGCTGCCTTGAGTGTGGGCTGAGGGAGGGGCAAACAAAGGACTTGAAGGAGACCTGTGCTCTCATTCCCAGCTGTTGGACGGAGGGCTCCGAGAGCTTTGGGAGGAGAGTGGATTGCAGCTGCCCCAGGACCAGGTCTCTTGGGTTCCTCTGGGGTTATGGGAGGTGAGACAGGAACCTGGAAAAGGTCCCTTCCTTATTTAACCAAGAGCCCTCAACAACTTTGAACCCACCAAAGCCATAGAACAGCCCTACACCTGCCTGGGCCAGAGGAGAAACGATTAACTGTGGGTGGATGGTTTGGAGTCCCCAAACCCACAATCCCCACCTATGTCCCTTCTGCACCATCTCTACCCTCTACTTCTTCAGCTATATTTACAAAGTCTCAAAAAGAATTAGGAAGTTCTCATTTTTGCTGTATTCTCTCCTAGTCTGCCTACCCTCCGAGGCTGAGCTGGGGTCTCCCCAAATACCATCACATCATTCTCTATCTTCTCGTGGTCTCCCAGGAGTCACAGCAGCAGCTGCAGGTAGGGCTGACAGTGCAGGAAGGAAATGGGGGCTTGAGACCCAAGCAGACTAATTCTGTGACGGCGGGGGGGGTCAGTCAGAGATAACCAAGAAATCCAATAGCCTCCCCCCTTGCCCCTGTCCCAAGTCTCTCCCCATTCCATTTGTGGGTAGGCCACAATCAAGAACAGGCCTCCTAAGAGAGGCCACGGCTAAGGGATCTAACTATCTGGCCCAGGCCCGGATCCAACCAAACCCAAATGAGGTGAGCGCCTTTATGTGGCTGGGACCAGATGTAGCAGCTGCAGTGGCCACCATGGAGGATGGTACAGAGACCAGGCATCTCCCCCAGGAGCTACCACCTTCCATCCTGTAAGAGCTTTGGCCTGACCCTCCAGCACACCAATGCATACTCATTGAATAGTCCCACCTCTTTCCCCTCCTCAGGGGGGAGTTTTATGTCCTGGGGGAGATTTAGGGAGTGGGCTGGTCAGCTGATGATGAAGGGGGCACATGATACCAAAGACACTGTCCATCCAACTCCAAGGGTTCCTGCTTCAGCTGGCTAGCACTGACCACCTGGGTTTGAGTCCCACTCCCCCAAAGGGGCAAGTCATTTAACCCTCCTTGAACCTGTTCCTTTCGGTAAATGAGGGGAACTCCCACCCACCCCTCTCCTCCTGTGGCTGGGAGGGTTCCATGGAAGAGGGCTAAGCCACTGACAGGAGCACAGCCCAGACAGGAGCCGTCATTATGCAGTATAGTAGAACTAAAGGAGGATGGAGGAGCTCGACGCCTGGCCTTGCCCGTGTCCACGCTGCTGCGGACAACCCCAACCACAGCTGAAGGAAAAGAGAGGGTCAGCTCTGGGACGAAGTTTGCCCTCAGGCTCTGGCTGCAACATCTGGGCAGGTAAGGGTAAAGGACTTGAGGGCTCTGTGACATTGGGCTGAATGCTCTATGAGGGAGAGGAAGAAAGAACAAATGCTCCCGGAACTCCTCAGTGGGACACCCCTCCCATGTGAAAGTAGGCCCAGGGTCTGCAAGGAAGAATAGAACATGGGCCCCCTCCCCGTAAACCAGGGCTCTGGAAATGGAAGTGCATAATCCCCCTGGCCCCAGCCCACCTCCAAGACACTCACAGACATTCACAACCTTTATTATGGGTAAGAACTTTGCTACAACTTTGAGAATAAAAAGTAAAATTACAACATAGGCCCTAGGCCCTGGAGGAGCCTGAAAAAGGAGAATGGGGAGAGCATGAGGTCTTCCCACCTCCCAGAAAAGGTGCAGAATGAGCCAGACCTAACCATGGGGCCATGGGCCTTTTGAAGCTCATGGCCCAAGCTGGTCAGCATATGAAACATTGTGAACTTAAATATATAAATAGAGAGAGACCCAGGCAACAGGCCAGGCCCTGCTCCCAAATCCCTGGGGATCAGAGCTAAGGCCTTATGTCCTCCTCAGTCATACTGGGAAGTAGGAAGCAGGGGAAATCATCTTTGGAGTATTTTGGTTTTTCTTGTTTATGTACAAAAAAATCTACAACCCAAAATAGAGTTCTCTGTCCCTATGTCTGCCTGTCTCAGCTTCTCTACCTCTGTCTGACCAAAGAGAACGGAATGGACATGAAGAGACAATGGATGTGGGGAAGGAACAGAACCATAGGTTTGGGGAAGAGAGGGCATCTAGGGGACAAGAGAAAGACCCTTTCCCCATGAGGCTCCAGCCAATTTGGCCCCTCCCCCAACTCACACCCCAACCCATGTGCCTCCCACTGCCCAGGTTAACATACCCAAAGGAATGTGCCAGCCATCTAAAGAACATTTCCAAAAATAGAACCCAAATGTCCTTAAAAAGAGGTTAAATATTAACCCTTTGGGTGCTGGCCTTGTTAGGCAGAGAGAAGGCCAAAATCAGGTATCCATGAAGGTCTTTCTGACCTTGGGCCAAAGCCCCCTGAGGGGTCAGAGTAGCCAGGAGTCTGGACTCCACAGAGTACTTGCTCAGTGTTGGGAGGCAATGAAGTTTCCATCGTCCAGGGGACTCAGTCCAGGGAAATGATGTCTGACCGGCAGCCAGTCAAAGAGGGACCTGAGGATAGGGGTCCTCCAGGCCCCTCCCTCAAGCCCCCCCCAGGGGCCACAATGCTACTGACACGGCCAGGAGGGGGTGCTGGAGTGGTGCTGCGGTGAGAGCTCCCCAATGTGGGGGCCAGTGGGCCCAGGAAGTGGGAAGGGGTCCCTCGGTACTGGAAGAAGTGGCCAAGGGCATCCTGTTCATCTAGCGAGGTGATGACGGAGGGACCATAATGCTGGGAGGAATCAAGGGCACAGTTTAAGATTTTCTCCTGACTTCACCCACCTCCCAGTCTCTCATCTCAGAAATATCCTGGGATAAATCAAACCCCTTGGATCCCCAAATAGCCTCTGAGAAGCAGGGGAGACTCTCTTTCCCCCACTTCCCCACCCCACCCATGCCCTGCCCCTACTCCCTGCCTTGAGACAGCCCCTCCAGCTTGCTAGGTTTTTGGCCTTGTGGGCGTCTGAAATGCATGGAATGTCCCTCTGGGGCAGGCACAGTGCTCAAGTGCACATGACTCTGTGTGTGGGGGGGGGGGGGGCAGGGGGGTGGGGACAGTGAGAGGGTGGTTGGAGGGAGAGCAGTCAGGGGCAGAATTTTAAAAACTCAAGACAGAACAGTAACAGGAAATCAAAGAAGACATGGGTGAGAATCTGAAGAACCACAGGTAGGGTCTAGTAGGGAAATAAACTGCCCACCCCCTGTCCCCCAGCCCCTGCCTTTCCTCACAGAGAAGCAGATTTAGGTCTCAAGGGAAAATGGGGGGGGGGCAGGGTATCAGTGCCTAGAAAGGAATCTTCAGAGATCTGATAGCTTCATGGGAGAAGAGACCACTTACCTGACTTTCAGTCTGGAGGAAAGAAAACAAATCTAAACCTGGTAAGAAAAGAAAAATCAGAATCAATCTCCTGTCTGACCCCTCATGGCCAAAAAAACCTGCAAAGAAGTCCCTTGGATTATAGCCTTTGCAAGAGAGCCAGAAGTCTTTGAAAAGGAACAGGGGTTCTGATCTCATTTGGGGGCAGTTGTGGCAAGGAACAGCCCACCTTGTGATCAGTGTCCTACCTTGGATATCAGCCCCCAGTGGGAAAGCAGGTGGGTACTCATGTAGTGGGAGACTGGATAGGAAATCCCCGCCCAGTGTGCCCATAGCAGGGCTCCGTAGCACCGAAGATGGCTGGTGACCAGATGTCAGGACTCTGTGAGGAGAGAGGAAGAGCTGGGGCAGCAGCGAACCAGATGCCCTTACCCAGCTCAGCCTCCTGAGTACCCTCTCTGCCCCAGGGTTTGTCCAGTGATCAGAAGGCATTCCTGACTTCTTCCTCTGCCCCTCTACAGTGGACTCAGCCTATTTCCTCATACCCTTTGCTTCCAGGAAGCGCTGGGATGGCAGCTGAGGTGACAGGACAGTGCTTTTTGGTCGGGGGCAGGTCCTCCTCATCTGACGAACTCTCTATTGTCAAGTCAATAACTTCAACCTTCTTCTTATTCTCTGATGGATTGCCCTCTTGGACTGGGCTGTACTGGAGGCCTGCGGGTGGTTAAGAGGACTGTGTCTCAGAGACGAAGCCATCCAAGATATAGTTCAGCTGGGGGACAGGGGGTCACTCACCATCCAGCCCATACCCTGGCGGGGGGCAAACCTCAGATGCCTCCTTCTTGGGTTTCATTGGGCACCAGGATCCATCTTCCATGAACTGGATCTCATCACAATCCGAACAGGAATTAAGTATCTCCATGAATAAGCTGGGGGAAGGGGAGAGATGGGAATTCATGGGGCTGGGAGATGGCTGGGAACAGTAGCTGGGGAGTTCTGGGACTCACCTTCCTGAACCTCAGGAACTGAGGTTTCCTTGTCTGTAAAATAGGGACATTATTCACTCTACCAACTCTTGAGTTGTCAAAATCAAATAAAGTAAGGTAATATAAAAGAGATTTGCCAACTTTAAATGCTAAATTTTCCAAACATTCTAAGCACACGTTTCATGTAGTACTTGCAAACAAGACAAAAGGAGCAAAGATACCAAACTCTATAAACCGTCTCAAAGAGGGCACTGGGAACGAGGATCATAATTTAGGCTCTGGACGGGGGTTGGGATTAGCTAGGTTAGTACATCCAGGCCCTCAGAAGAACTTTTTTGCCATTGTCAATGAGAGGTCAGGTAGTTGTTCTAGGAAATATATTGTATCAGTTCAATGCACTGACTCTGCCACTTAGTAACAATGAGAACTTTGAGCAAGATAATCTCTCTAGGCCTCAGCTTCCTCATCTGTAATGACCATACCCATCTCACAAGGTTAATTATGAGGATTCAATGCGATGAGGCATGCAAAGTTCGCAGCATGATGCCTAATGCTTTAAATACTCAATGTTGGAAATATATACAGTTGACCATGAACAACATGGGGGTTAAGAGCACTGACCCCACACAATCAAAAATCCATGGATGGGGTGCCTAGGGGGTGCAGGCAGTTGAGCATCCTACTTTTGGTTTCTGCTCGGGTTGTGATCTCAGGGTCATGAGATCAAGCCCCATGTCAGGCTCCACTTTGGGCATAGAGCCTGCTTAATATTCTCTCTCGCCTGCCCCATAAGCACATGCTCTCTCTCTCTCTCTCTCTCACAAGTAAATAAATAAATCTTTTTTTTTTTTTAAGTCTTTACTATTTAAAAAAAAAAAAAATTCATGGATAACTTTTGACTCCCCCCAAAACTTAAATAACAACAGCCTACGGTTGACCAAAAGCCTTACCAATATCATCAACAATCAATTAACACACATTTTGTATGTTATATGTATCATATACTGCATTCTTATAATACAGTAAGCTAGACAAAAGAAAAATATTAAGAAAATCATAAAGAGGAAATACATTTATATGTACTGTGCTGTATTGAAAAAAAAATCTGTGTAAAGTGGACCTACACTGTTCAAGGGTCAACTGTATATTATAAAGGTAAAAAATTATACCTATACATATAAAGGGATTGATAGGTGAAGAACTGGGGTTCATGGGAGGGGAAGGAAGGTCTCACTATATATAGGTGGGCAGGGGTTGCTAGTGGAGGTCCTAGGTAAGAGGAAGCAGAGTGGCCCTACCCATCAATGATAAGAGATTCATAAGGAGCCTTCTTGTCACAAACAGGACATGTCCATGTTGGCTTCTTCTCATTCATCTGTAGATAAAGGGCAGCATCGAAGCTCTGCAGGTGGGCGCAGGTGAGGGCCCGACAAGGGACTGTCAGGCGCATCTTCCCTAGCTGAGAAGAGAGGAGTTCTCTGGTCAGAGTCCCCACAACCCAGGAAGCCTTACTCTGGTCGCCCTAGGAGCCCTCATCTGGGTCCAGAGTTTAACCCAGCTCCCCCTCCCCCTTCTCATCTCCCTTGTACCCACCGGGCACATGAGTGACACCCGGAGACTCGTAGTGGCCACCTCACTGTCCGGGTCAGCGGTCAATTTCTCCTTGACTGAAACAAGAATGAGGCCAGAGCCATGGGGTCAGCAAAGCTGGAGATGAAGCCCAGGAAGCGATGAGGCCAGAAGCAGACGACTCTGGCTGAGAGGCAGCCACGCAGAGTGCCTTTGGGGGCCGGGGGGATGTCACATGAAGACTGGCTGTGAGGGAGAGTTCCCCGTCCCTGAAGATGCTTAAACACAGCTGTGGGACACTGGGACAGAGATGACTTAAAGCGAACTGAAGCATCACAAGAGGGTTAGATCAGAGGATCCTTTTTCTTCATTTTTTATTTTTTATTTTTTTAAAGATTTTTATTTATTTGACAGGGAGAGACATAGTGAGAGAGGGAACAGAAGCAGGGGCAGTGGGAGAGGGAGAAGCAGGCTTCCCATGAAGCAGGGAGCCCGATGTGGGGCTCTATCCCAGGACACTGGGATCATGACCTGAGTCAAAGACAGATGCTTAATGACTGAGCCACCCAGGCACCCAGATCAGAGGATCCCTAAGACTCTTGCCAGTCTAGGGGCACCTG